GGTGAGAACTGTTATTTCACAGTTTACACAAGGTCGACGATGTTGAGATTAGTTACGAGTGAATCTATGCATTTTTTTATGTACATATTAATTATTTTAGTTTTTATCTTGTATACAATATCTTTTAACTTATATATGTATTAATTATGCAGATTTCTAAATTGTCAATCAAACAAAAGGAATAGCCACATGCAAGAATGTAACAGCGGTCACTTTCAATTTTTTCCAAAGAATAGTAGTATACTTGAAGTTATATAGTAAAAGAAATCAAGTGGCGTATCTAAAGAAAAATCTACAAAGGTTCACAGGAACAAATAAATTTTTAAATGAAGGTAGAAGAAAGTCATGGCAGCTATAAGCTATTAAGAAAATGTGTCATGCTTATGTTGAATTAGGTATTTTCTTTGTCCTTAATAGCCTACATCATTGGATATAATGAAATGTATTTTCCGTTTAAAATGACCTCAGAATCACTTTTTTTCTTGTCAAATTTTTCTCTCCCCCACATTTAGAAAATTTTAAATCAATATCACTATTTTTAAAGCAATGTTTTGGTGAGAAATGGATTTAAATTATTTAACACTAGGAGTTAACAGAAACTAAGTACTCTAGAAAAAGTTACTTTCTTCACTGAGCTAACTGATAGAGAAGAAAAGGCCCATCCCAGATTAGGCAACAATATGAGTCAAAATTTTCACAAAGGGCACCATTACAAGCCTACCATCCAAGCCTGGATCAAACCCTCAGATGATATCTCTGAATACGCGTGTAACTAGAGAACGCAGCATAGAGTATGGACCAAAGCTAAAGCAAGAAGGGTGTTAACAGAAAAGGAAGAGCTCAAACCATAAAAACAAAGGATCCAACAATCACTATGGAGATTCATCAAGTAATTATTGTAATGCCCATTTATTTTATCTAGACATGTCTAATGTGTGGTAAAACCAACAGATATGCAAAAGCAGCAAGACTTCTTAGGCAAGAGCATCTCAAATTGTTGTTTATTGATACATGTGGATAGCACGATAAAACTAGATGTGGGAAGGGGCTTTAGACCGCATACATGTTTTGACCCTCCACAATCTCACCCTCCTGAGTTCTTTCTACATATGGTATCTTTACTCAGATACAACAGTTTGGAGAGGAAGTGAGCTCTCAACCTCCTTTGCTTCAGCATTTCTTTCAGCAACAATTTTAGACATCCCAAACATCTGAAGGCATAACCACAGCTGTTAAGAATAAATCATAATGCCTTATTAAGAAAGGAATAATCCGTAATGCTATTTTGATTTGGAACTAACCTTATTGATGGTCTTCTTAAAGCAAGATGTGTGTTCATCCATTGAGGCATGTATAAACTCATCAATATGATCCTTCACATCCTCCAAAAATGTGGCACTTTCAGACTTCTTTTTTCGGCATGATGATGCAACAGCAGGTGACGTTTGCTCAAGCGGACTCTTCTCAGTCGACATGTTCTGCTTATGTTATAAATATTGAGAAATACCGTGATATAAACAGCTAAGTTGGGTGCAGAACTGTGCCAGAAGGCAGAAGTAATGTTCTAGTAGCTGTCCACTTGCTAAACAAGGCTACCGTCAAAGTGTTTTAGAGCATTAACTATGTCCCTCATTCAAGAGAAGGAGAAAATCTAGATAAAAACTTAGCAGGGTATGTCTTAAAATATCAGCTAGGTTAGGCTATGCTCGAAGAGTTATAGTACATTAATTATGTTCCTCTTCCAAGAGAAGGAGCAAGTCTAGATAAAAACTTAGCATAGTATGTCTAAAAAATATTAGCTAGGTTAGAATGAGGTACATTAGAATTATTATTTTTAAAGGCAGAAGAAAAAAGAAGATAAGTTCCACGAATACTCCGATTTGAAATAATGGTGCAGTCAATGTAATATGTAAATGATTAACTTATTCTATCAAAATCAATTGTTGTTCCTAGTAAACTTATTAATGGTGACAATACGGATGAAGTAGCAGAAAGAATGTTAAAACCTCACTGGAACGGATATTGCATTGATAGGATACAAGAAGCAGTATAGGGAAATCGTCCCCGTCCGTCTTTTGTGGTTTACTGAATGCACACCCATTTGAAAAAGTTAAACACCAAAGATATAGTTTGGGTAGGTGGTGAGGGGTGGACAAGGAAGTCGAAGTTGAGCGCATTTGGTGCAACAAAGCCTATCTACAAATCAAACAGCCTAAAGAGATTCAACCTAGATAATTTGAAATGTCTTCTGTTTGTTAGTACTTGTGCATCCACAACAAATACCTGTTTCTCATTAGTCAGCACACTAAAAAAGCAGCATTAACTTGCTGGAAGATGCACATGTTGTCGCAAGCTACTTGGCAAAATGGACCATTTACATTCTACCACCATTTATTTCTAAGTCAAGAGAAGCGTTGTTTCAAATACCTTTTCCTATTTGTCAGCACACTAAAAAGCAGCATTAACTTGCTGGAAGATGCACATGTTGTCGCAAGCTACTTGGCAAAGGGACCATTACATTCTACCACCATTTATTTCAAGTCAAGAGAAGCGTTGTTTCAAATACCTTTTCCTATTTGTCAGCACACTAAAAGAGCAGTATTAACTTGCTGGAAGATGCACATGTTGTCGCAAGCTACTTGGCATATGGACCATTACATTCTACCACCATTTATTTCTAAGTCAAGAGAAGCGTTGTTTCAAATACGTTTTCCTATTTGTCAGCACACTAAAAAAGCAGCATTAACTTGCTGGAAGCTGAACATGTTGTCGCAAACTATTTTCAAATCATCAAATGAACCATTACATTCTACGTCTAGAGAAGAGTTGTTTCGGAGAAAGGCCTTCCTCGGATTAGTAGTTGTCAATGTATTTAGGTAGCCGTTCCAAATTTCAGAATATTTTTTCTAAAAGAAAGGAAAAGGAGATCTAAGCGGAATTCTTTCGATAAGGCTATAACCTACCAGATGGAAATCACAGAGAACTTTCTTCAAACACATTACATGCATTAGAGTTATCAACATAAAAGTAATCCAAAACAAACACATAAGAGTTATCAATATATAATCACTCAATTCTAAACACATAACAGTCGATCGTAAACAGATAATGAGTTATAATCAACATAGAATCACTAAATTGTAAACTACAAAAGCATCAATCAAAAAAAAAAAAAAACACGAACATATAAATTGCAACATACAACTCCGCATTTTCTAACTATACGTTCCATTTCATCAAAAACGAAGCACCTAAAATGCGATTAACAAAGATAAAGCTGGTATCAACCTTCCCTTAGGTTAACCGGAAGCAACAAACGGAATAATAATGGGAACAAGGGTAAGAAAAAGAGAATTCTGGTTACCTGAGCTGAAGAAATCAGAGAGACAACCGGAAAATCAATTACTACAACAAAAGATAGTAAAAGATTTAGTTCATCTTTAGCGCCTAATTTTGAGTTATTTATTGAATTAACAATACATACACGTACTTCACTGAGGTTCACAAGTTTTTGTGCCAGAGTTTGTTTTGCCCGTAGTAAAATTTTATGTCATTTTAAATTAAAAGATTTGAATTATTTTTTTATTTAATTTGTAAAGGATTATAAAAGATTATTTTTATCGTGATGTATGAGATATGACACTTGTAAATATGTTCTCTCAAATGTTCAAGTCAAATCTTGCCAAAAAAATTATCATTGTAAGTCGGTTGGTAGCTGTATAAGAAACAAATTATTCATATATTAATTTTTGTATGACTTGTAAAGTTTGATAGATATAAAGAAAATAACGTATTCATGTATAAAATTAATACAACATTTGATTGACAAAGTTGCATAACTAATTAATATATGTATAAGTTATGGATGAATCTATATATTATTTTATACAAGATAGACAGAGATGAAATAACTTATACATGTATAACTAATACATGCATAAAATAATAATACATAGATTCACTCATAATTAATTGGGAAAATTGTACGAAATAACAAACTATTAATTCAAATTAAATGTTATAGTCATAGTTTCTTTTATTTGTAATTCACAGCAAACATTTCATATTTTTTTGCCATTTCATTTGTATACTGAAATATACAAATAGACCTAAATACATATTTTTTTTATGTATATGTATACCGAAATATACAGATTAATAGCCATAACAAACATAAAGTTTGTTATGAAGCGCAATTATACAAACTATAGTTATAGCATACCAATATGATTTTTATATTTGCTAAACCTAAAATTTACTCTTAATTAATTTCTACATTACTAATATCTGCATAACTCTAACCGATTACCAACCGACCATAGTGCATCCTTTCATCCTTATGAAACTTATATACTAAAACCAAATCTCTATATTTTTACTCCATAACGTCACAATTTTAATAGTATTGTCACAACATATTGAAAACGAATTTGCCGAGAAAGTCGCTATTGACCACGCGAGGTTGAATCTTTCCTAAACACAACAATAACAATATACTTAGTGTAATCTTAAGAGTAGAATGGTGGTGTGTACGCAATCCTACACCTATTTGGTATGAGTAGAGAGATTTTTTCTGATGTACCCCGACTTAAGTTAGATATAAGGTAAAATATAACATCAATTTGATAAATCAAAGATAATGATTGATCTAATAGTTTACCAACATAGTATAAGGTTATGCAATGAAACAACAAACTCTAGTGGAGTCTTAAGTGTTCATAAGAAGTCTTTAAACAAAACATGAATAAGCATCTTGAAAACCATTCAAATATGTTTTTGAGAACTGAGAAGTCATATGTTGTGCCTGCAAATTCCTAGTTCTAGAATTAAACTTACACTATACACACACTCAGAATTTCTCAGTAACTGATCTTATTTCCCTTAAAATGTATGAAACAACATGACAACAAATTTGAAATATTTAGAAAAAAGTACTCTACCATAAAAGCTAGCAATATTTGCAAGTGGTTAACATTAGTCTCCACCTGATTTTCATGTTCTCATCAATAGCATGGAAAATGGAACTCAAACAGGTCACCTTCTTCAATCTATCTTCACGGAAGAGAAGAGACGATGCACAAAGAAAAAAGACGTCAAGAACCCTATAGCACCAGTTGCTAGCATAACAGCAAGCGCCATTAAAAGCGAGTAGCCTAAGTATAGCATAGCCGATACAGGTCCACTGAGGCTCTTGAGATCGAAAACAAGATAGTTCACGGAGTAGAAGAAAATGTAGAGTGCAACTGAGCCAGACGCGAAGAATGATTTCCACCACCATCTCCAATCTTCCATACAAAGATGCATATAAGTCAGGACCAAAGACACTTCAGCACAAACAACCACTAGCAGTATCAATACTACCAACAGAAACCCGAAAACATAGTAAACACGTCCGAGCCATATGCTAGACATGATGAAAAAGAGTTCAATAAACAGAGTTCCAAATGGCAGAGTTCCTGCTCCAATTACCAACACCCAAGTAGGAAATCTGTTTGATGGGATTTCACGAGGAATTTGATTGCTACGACAAGGGTACTCAAGGTGTGGAGCCTTTGTACCGATGAATCCACCTATGAGTGTAAGAGGCATGGAAATGCAAAACCACAACAACAACAGAACAATGTAAGTAGTGAAAGGAATTGCACCAGTGCTATGACTTCCCCATAAGAGGAAATTCAGAACAGTTAGTATAAGAAATGCAATTCCAGGGCCGAAACAAGAAACTCTCCACGAAATTGAAAGCCATCCATTGGTATTACCAGCATTCAGTGTTTTCATTAGCCAAACAGCAACATAGCCAGCAATAATACCTAAGAACATGTAGAACAAAAGCATGCCAGTAATAAGCGTGCCTCGAGAGGCTGGAGACATAAATCCAAGAGCCGCGAATAATATTGTCACGACTGCCATTCCTAAAATACGACATCCATCAGCAACCATCATACTGAGGAGTTCTGCATTCTCCGGAACCCTGAAGACATCACCAACAACTAGTTTCCATCCTGATAACTCCTCATTTATTTGAGCTTGAGCCTCTTTGTCAAGCTCCTCGTAACGAGCTAGATCTCTTCGAATTGTCCTCAAGAAAATAATCAGAACTATCCCTGCTAAGAATGTAATAACCATCATGGAATTAAGAATCGAAAACCAATGAACTTTTGCACCTTCCATCTTCAAATATGCATCCCATCTTGATGGCCACTTAATGTCACTCTCCACAAAATTGACCTCATAACTATATACCAATGGCTTGCCGTCTTGGATCACCCCGGCTACAGTAGCTGGTTCACATTTAATAGGTGCAGTATACTTATCGTATCGTTTTAGATTCTTAAGCAAATCTATATTATGCTGAAAACTACAGGGGACAACTTCAAATCCAACAACCATGTAAGCCGGTGTGTCTATAACAGACTTATCATCCGTTGTAATTAACTCAACTCCATCTCCAGCCCCAATCACACCAGGCATAGTATTAGTCTTCTCATATTTATGAACCAACACAGTAAATTTCAAATGGTTGAACACATAATACACATCCTTAACCTTAATACCAACCGGATAACCCGTCCACCTAAGAAAGAATCCATCTTTGTTCATATACCGAATAGCAGGAAGATTATCAAGATTCAGATTAACTTGATACATCTCATCGATCCGTTCTTTCAAAACTTTGGATTCATCAGCTGATAATGCATTTGTTTGACACAAAAACAACTCACTTTCGTTTACGTGCATTTTAAATCTATAAGGAGAGTTCTCAATTCTATCTCCCATAAGAAGCTCACCTAAGTTTTCAGCACTGTCTTTGACACCTTCTAAAGGTTTACAAAAAGGTAAACTGTAATATCCATAAGGTAATTCTGTATCAATTGAGGTCAAGGAATTTACTTTGACAGATAATTGATCACCTACATAATATTTGTGTGGGAAACTACCAGGTAGATAAAATCCACTAGCAAATTCAAGAAAAAAGGTACACAACAATAGACACTTCTTTAATTTATCCATCGATCGCCAAGTTTCGGATAAATTCTTAGAGATCTGAAAGATGAAAATGATTTAATTGAACCAAAAAGAAAACAGAAGATCTTGAAGAAATTTTTTCTTTTTTGATTGAAAACAATGCATGAAAGCATAAAATATGTTAGATTCAATATACATGCATGGCACAAGTGGATTTGGTCTATTTTGTTAGTGAATGATGAGAGAAAGGTGGGAATTTGTAACTAACTATTTATATGTCTGTGTTGTATGTTGGATTTGGGTCTATTTAGAGTTATGTCTTTTCATCATATGCTAAATCTTATATATTCGAGGATTGTTTTTTTATTTATATTGACTATGACGATCGGGCTAATCTGCACTCGCCTTTACTAATTTCATAGTGTATATTTGTTATTTCCCACTAACTAAGTATTGAGAATTTTACTACCAAACTTGTGCATGGTAAAAGAGATGAGATCATAATTTTTTTTTATCTTCGTTAAAATTTAAATCTAAATTTTTTCTCTAACTTTATTAACCATCAAACACACCTTTGGATGCATATACTACCAAAAAAAATGTTTTACAAGTTGAAAAAAAATTGTTTTGATTGTATAGAAACACTACTTAATTAGTTGATTAGAATATTGTTCAAAGTTATTTTATTTATTTTTCAATTTTTTTGATATTCAAGTAAATTGAAGTTTAAATAATATTTTAAAATATTCAGTTTGATACAAGAGAAATATATAATCCTGGTGATTCAATTTGTTTATGTGATTTTAATTTGACACGAGATTTAAAAAATAAAGATAAACTTTTGAAATGTTAAAATTTAAAAAATCAATTAATTTGGTCTATTTCAATTTTAAAAAAAAGTCACAAAAAGAATTAAACCAATTTTGGGATTAAACCAATACTCCGTCCTATGCTTAACATCTGATCTAAAACCGCTTCGCCGGAGCTGCCAATCTCCACTTTCCACCTTCTCCGGCGATCATTTCCCGGCAGAGTTCGAAATGGAACCCGACGTGAGCATCGAAACAAGCTGTATGATCCGAGTAGCAGTTCTACCAATCGGATCTATAGCAATCCCTTTATTCCGCGACTACACTTCTATGCTAGTTCGTCACTACACAGTATCATTGTCTTCCATCAGTTCATTCTACACAGAACATCAAAAATCTCCTTTCGCTCATCAACCTTGGGATTCCGGTAGCCTCCGGTTCAAATACATGGTCGGTGGTTCACCGGCTAGTCCTTGGGAAGATTTCCAATCCAATCGGAAAATTTTTGCCGTTATAGGCATTTGTCACTGTCCTTCTTCCCCTGATCTGCATTCTGTCATGGATCAGTTTGTGACCGCATGCAAGAGTTACTCGTCTTCAGTTGTTCGGCGTTGCTTCGCATTTTGCCCCGGTGACTCTCAGGTTCTAGTTCTGTTTGTCTTCTTCGATTGTTGGAACTGTTTGATACTATTTGATACATGTAGCTGAGTAGGATCTAGCATATAAGCAGCTTATACCAACATAAATTAAACTTGGATATATCTATATGTATCTAGAATAATTTGAAGAAAAGACTGTCTGGGAAAGATTTAATATTTGTAACGATAGGAACTGAATGCCTGTGCTATTTTTTTTAAAATTTGTTATAAGGATGAAATCCACTTGTAGAATTAAGGTTTTGGGGATATTGAATTTAGAATTGTCACATCTGCTTTAGGACTTGGAGGATCATAAACTAGCAAGGAATTTGCTCCAATTTTGCAGCAAATCATAGATACTTTATTGTTTTCACTTCTTTCTCAGTCAATTAATCAACTATGCCTCAAGTCTAAATCAATTGTGGTCAGGTATATGATTTTTTTATATCCATTCAGTTGTTTGACACTGCTTTGTATTTTTCCTGGCTGTTCTTAGGTTGAATTTTGTTTGTGTTCTTTGTTGTATAATTGATGGTTGGAAATGTTCTATTGCTGGTAGAGATTGGACTTGAATAGAGGAAATGGATATGGTCATTCAAAAAAAAAAAGTCATACAGAGATTCATGTAACAACTCCAACTTAGTTGAATCCAACTTATTTGGGATTGAGACATAGCTGATTAATTGATTACTAGATATTGGACATGTGAATTTCTGCAATATATATAAAATTGACTTGCAGAAAATTTGATCGAATTGAAAGTAATGAAATATGCTTTAGGGCTTTGAGGATCATAAGCTAGCAAACCATCTACTCCTTTGTGGAGAAACTACAGATACTTCAGTCTTGTCCTCTTTGTACCCAAAAAGAGAAAAAGAAAAAAGAAACAGAAGTTATGTCAGTGCATACAATATGACTAGACTCTATTGTTTTATAAATCAATGAATCTTTCAGTTGCTCCACTGTTCCAAACTAATTGGGGTAAGCGATCCGATATGTACACTGTATGTACTTGTAACTCTATTCAGGCCTATTTTATTTGGATACACAGTAATATGTTTTCAAAGATAATTTAAGGATTATTGGAAATCAAATGTTCTCTAAGTCTCACTCTTACCCATACTCTCAACACACACTCACTAACAAACTGAAAAGATTCTTGGCGGATATGAATAGATAAGTATATATATGTGTGTCTGTGTGTTTGTGCGAGCACTCTTTTAAAGGATAGGCTTTTGAAAGCTCATATAACTTAATTTTTCATTATTTTCTTTTTGAATAATTAAATGCAGTGCTTCAGATACTTCTCAGGATGCATTCTTGAATGGATAATCAGTTTGCGTACTGTTAAGTTTGTGATCAAAAGCTCCTGACTGTCGGAGTGTCCTTGTTTTCAAGTTTGTTCTTTTCATGCATGACATGCCTAAAATGCATTTTTTATTGTGCAGCTAGAGGATGAAAGCTTCAAAGGGAGCAACTTAATTTTGTTTCCCCCAGCTGATCGTCAAACTCAAGAATTCCACTTGCAAACTATGATGCAAGATATTGCTGCCTCGTTGTTGATGAAATTTGAGAAATCAGTTCTTCAAGCAGAGTCTGGTGGAACTATTCTCAAGACACCTTTAGATTCCCAAGCGAGTCTTAGCTCAGAGGAGGTTCATATTTTAGGTGTTTTAAGGATTTATTTCTATAGTTATCTTGTTTAGTTTCTTGGTAGGATTTCATTACCATTTAAATTATTAACTTCTTGATTGCATTGGAGAACCTTATAGGTCATCAAGGCTAAAAAACGAAGATTGGGGCGTGCACAAAAAACTATCGGGGATTACTGTCTGTTGGCAGGGTCACCTGTTGATGCTAATGCCCATTATACAACTTCATTGGAGCTTGCTAGATTGACTGGAGACTTCTTTTGGTATGCTGGGGCAATGGAAGGCAGTGTTTGTGCACTGTTGGTGAGTATGAACATACTCTCAGTGATGTCAGTGCATCTTATTAGAAATTTAGTTCATAATCCACGAGAAGTCATTGCTTGACAAACATCTAATATAATCTGACACCTTAGACTACATTTTGGAGTTGGAAACCATATTTGACACCTACACACCCACACATATACTTCTTGATTTATTTTATCCACACGTGTTTGTCTACCAATGGGGAATGCTGTTTATCAGCTAAACATCTTCCAGAGCAAATCCCCAATTTTCTGTTCGTTCTTGTTCCTTTTTCCTTCTTCTTGGGGTGAGAAGAGGGAAATTTTTTCTGGTATGGGGTGTAATTTATTAAATCAACGTATTCTCCAGTTTTGCTCGGTATTTTAAAATTCTGTTACCTGTTTGAGCCTGCATTCATGTAAGAACATGCATCTTTGTTTTCAAGGGGTTAAAAAAGAAAGGTATCACATCTGTCTTGTACTTTTTGTGTTATGGACCCTCTCAATCTTTCATAGTATTACAGTTTGCATGTAATGATCACAGTGCCTTTTTATCTACAGAGATGATACCAATGATACTGTCTAAGAAAGGGACAGAAATTTCTTGTATGAATTTGAGAGGACACCATTAAGAGGGGGATTATTCTGTATATTCAAACCATGTTTTAGTCCTCACATCAAATTTAATTCTATAGTCAATCAGGTGTTGTAATTGAAATGACAACAATCAGTTAGGTTTATTGATATTGTTGGCTGGATATAGCTCCTGATAAGTATTGCAAACATACATCTGTTTGCAACTGAAGGCATTTCAGTGTGTTCATGGATGAATATTAACCATATGTGTTTGTTTTAATTTGGATGTTTTGGGGTGGTGGAGCACATCTTTCAAATGAGACTAGAAAACATGGTTGCTAAGGTCCTGAGGAAGGATGAGGGAACCTTGAGACTAGTAAAGGTATGGGATGCTCAAATTGTTCCAAGGTTTATGTGTTCTAACCTGTTCTGTGTTTCCTGTTGACAATCTATGGATGCCTCTATTACCTTTGATACAAACTAAAGTGGCAGGCACATAAAACTTGAATTAGAAGGAATGCTAACTTTTTGTGAAAAATGATGCAATATTGCAGATGTCAAAACCACGAAGTAGTAATACTTATTAAAGAGTTGAGTGCATTGTATATTATGTTGCCATTTTGGCTCTTTCTTCTCAAGAGCTTATTCATTCTTAAAGTCACAAGTTCTTAGTTTTATCTCCTTACTTGAATCTCATGGTTACTATTTTGATGATTAGATAGATCAAATGGGTCAGAGGGATCAAGTTCTAGATTATGAGATCAAAGACCGTTACAATAGTGTCATTTCGCATTACAGAAAGTCATTTATCCAAGACAATGCTCAAAGGTATATGTCTGTCTTTTAATCTTTCTATAGATGTAGTTACAACTTACATAAGCACCTTTATCATGGTTTTTTTCTTATAATGATTGGGTATATAATTTGTATTTGCCATCCCTTTCTTTCTGATTCGCGCACAAGAGTTTGAGAGGGAAAACACTATCTTCTTTTTTCCGATGAAGTAAGTGATATCATTAAAAATGCATCAAGAAGATGCAGTAGTTACAAGATATGACATTGAAGCTATCTGGCACTTTTACAAAA